GCACGGGCAGGCCCGCAGGCGGAGGGGGGGGGCGCCCACCATGGGGGTCGACGTTCCCACCAGGCCCTCGGAGTGCCAGGCGGCCACCGAGGCGGGGCAGTGGCAACGTCCAGGGGGAGGCGGGGGGGGGGGGGCAGTGGCAACGTCCAGGGGGAGGCGGGGGGGGGGGCGCTCCGGGAGGGGGGGGGGAACGCATCGCCCGCGAGTCAGAGCAGAAGGGCTCGGCGCGGGCAGGCTTGAGCATGGTCGTGCATTCGCCCGCAGGCCAGCGAAGGCCCGCGAGTTCGAGGTGCTGTTGCTCCCCGCCCCCCGCCAGATTCGGACGGGAAGCAGCGGAGACTGAGCACGCTACGCGCTTGGAGGCCTCGCGCGGCACGCCACTTTCGAATCATCCAGTCCACATGTCCCCCCTCCGGGGAAGTGTCTGGCGACCACGGTGCCATCTCTATCTCGTGCGGATGTCACACGCTTTGTAATGCGTTCTCTCGGAGGCAAGGTCAGGGGCCCGCGCATGGTTCGCATCGCTGTGGTGTCGTCCCCGGTGTGTCCGCTCCCCGCAGCTCCCGAGGCAAGGATAGAGTCTGTCCACGTGTCCGCCCCGTGAGACGTGGGACGACGTCCGCGGGGCGAGAATACGACATGGATCTGAAGTCGGGAGCTCTGGAGGGGGGGAGAGAGAGAGAGGGAGAGAGAAGAATAGAGCCTGTCCACGTGTCCGCCCCGTGAGATGTGGGACGACGTCCGCGGGGCGAGAATCCGGCATGAATCTGAAGTCTGGGGCTCTGGAGAGGGGGGGAGAAAGAGAGAGAGAGAGAGAGAGAGCGAGAGACAGGAAGAGACAGGGCACAATGAGAGAGAGCGAGAGAGAGAGAGTGACAGAACAACAAGCGTCGCACGACTCGGTTTCGTTTCGCCGCGCACTCGGTCGGAGGAGGATAGCGATTGACTGCCCTCCCCACCGCTGGCCCCTGACCCCCCGAGGAGCCCCCCGCGCCTGAAGAGGCCGTGGACGATGACGACTGCAGGCCGGCGCCGGCAAGGGCGGGCGCGGCCGCCTCGTCAAAATCCGGTCGGGAGCCTCGAGGCGTGGGTCAATGCAGACGGGGGTCAGCCAGAGCGCCGGATCTTGCGGGATCCTGCAGGGCCAGGGGTGCATGGACCCAGGCCAGCGCGCAGGATCCTGCAGGGTCCTGCGAAGCCCGACCGACCCAAGTTTGCAGTGGCACGGGTCAGCAGATCCCGGACCAGGAGAGGGAGGGCCAGGAGGGAGCTCTCAGGGCCCAGGCCGCCCCAATGGGGTCGAAGGGGCCCGACAGAGTTCATTTCGACTCCTCCGACTCCATTCGATGTCGGTCGATTCCGATTCAGAATCGATTCCGTTTCGGATTCCGATTTGGATGAAGGTTTCTCAATGGATGCTTTTTAGGCTAACAGGTCGCCGCCGATCTGATTCAGTTCGATCGCCGATCCGATTAATTTCGATTCGATTCTCAGTTCTCCTGCCCGATAGCCCTTCCCACTCAGGAATGTGCGGTTTCGCTATCGGTGGGCCTCGCCGCTTCAAACTCGATGTTTCCCACCCATCCCCTTCTGAGCGGGTCCCCCCCCCCATATCGTTTCCTCTCATCCTCCTCTCCTCCTCGGCAGAAGCGGAGAGCCGCCACCACTCGCTGCAGCACCCGAACCCACCGCTGCCAGACTGGCACCAGCATCGCATGGGCAGGGCCGCCTCGGTGGAGGGTTGCCTTCAGGTCTGCAGCGCCCTTCCCCTGGCACAGGAGGTGCCTTCGGGGCGCCTGAGAGATGAGAGCGTGAAGAACGACCACGGTATGGATGAGGGGGAGGCGGAGGATCTCCAAGAACGGAGGCAGCATCGGCAGAAGCAGCAGCAGCAGGTTTACTCGAGGAAACGAAAGCATAAATTCGGGCGTGTGGAGTATCGGCAAGGCCCGCTCTCGTGGCGAGCCTGCGGGCTCCGTGGCCAACTCGGGCGGGGCAGCTGCGGGGCGGTCACCTTCCCCGGTCCGTGGACCTGGCGCCCGCGCGCCCGATCCGCGGACCCACCACCCACTGCAGCGCGCGCCCGAGGGAGGGAGCGGAGCGGAGAGAGGGGGGGGGAGCCGAGGCCGAGGCCGAGGACCTTGGCATCGCTCGAACGTGTGCATTTTGCCTTCGGCGAGGACCATCGAGGAGCATCCTTGACCATGTGGCGAAAAAAACACGCACGAAACCGAAAAAAAACAGGGAATGGACGTCCGAGCGATGGCCAGGGACGAGGACGAGGACGGCGGGCGCGACAGAGAGCGAGCCAGAGGACGGCACCCGGCGGGCCCTCGAGGTCGCCGCCCCGCGGGCCGCGGGCCGCCGCGGCGCGCGCGGAGGCGGTCGGCCGGGCGCGAGCCCCGGCTGGCGCGTCCGGGGCGCCGCGAGGTGGGAGCTGCAGCACAAGGCCCTGGAGATCGAGACCGCCACCAACGAGGGGCACCCGGAGGTCACAGAGGCCCCTCCCGTTGGGCGCCGCGTAATGGGGGGGGTCATAAATGAGGGGGGTGGCGAGGGTGGTCCGAAAAGGTACCCAAACGGTACCTAAACGAGCCCCCTGGGGCTCCGGAGGGGCCCGAAAGGGGCACGAAAGGGGACCTTTTCTGACCCCCCCCAGTTGTGACCCCCCCCATTAAGCCACGCCCAACTCCCGCCCTGCACCCGGAGCTCGAGTGCGACGTCCCGAGGCGCGGAGTTCCGGGCCTCCGAGACGGGGTCCGAGCGGATGCAGATGGGGTCCGGGGTCGGAGGATCGCGCCGCATCGCCGATGCATGGCCGACGCGGCTCGACTCAGAGCCCGGTTTTCTCCGCGCCGATGGCGCCGATGCATCGCCGACGTCGCCGATGCATCAGCGACGCGGCGCGATCCTCCGACCCCATCTGCCCGGATCCCATCTGGGAGGCTTCGAGATTGACATCACGGATACGGCCAGGAGAATATATTCCCCGAGCAATGGTTGTTCTGAGGGTTTCTGGGATCTCCCCCACCCGACAGGTTGGCGCTGTCAGTTTTTGAGAGAGAAGTGCCGTACCTCCAGGCTTCCTAGATGGGGTCCGAGTAGATGGGGTCGGAGGATCGCGCCGCATCTTCAATGCATCGGCGATGGGGTCCGAGTCGGACCCCATCTAGGAGGCCTCTAGTACCCGTTCGCCTGCTCCGCCCCAAATGTCCACGAGTGTCCTCGGTGTCTCGCCTCGCATCCTCGACAAATCACGGCAGAACTGATCCTCAGACCCAAGTGAAAGACGCAAATAGTGAACGTACGCAACAGACAGAGCAGACATTAAGAGCAAGCATACATAATTTGCACAAGTCAACGTTGCAGACCAACCTGCAACAACATACACATTAGCGTACATACGAAGGTGCGCAGAATTGAAGACGTTGATTATCGGAGGGTTGGGGGTTGAGACCGAGTGAAACGGAGTCGCCCAACCGGGAAGTCGGTTCCGGTTTCGCTTCGCGTCGCGCGGGCGAGGCGGAGTTGCGCGAGTTTCTACATATAGCTAGGCATGGGTCAGGCCTGTCGTCGGCCCAGGTGTGGAGCGCTGTCGAGTGATTGACCTGTGGCTGTCACATGGCTGTGGCGAAGCTGGCCCGCGGTCGTCCCGCGGCCGTCCCGTGGTTGTCCCACGGCTGTCCTGTGGTTGTCCCGCTGTGGTCTCGTGGTTGTGCCCTGTGCGTGCGCAGCGTTGTCCGCGATGGTCCCGTGGTTGCTCCGCGGTTGTCCCGTGGTTGTCACGTGGTTGTCCCGTGGGTGTCCCGTGGTTCTGATGTGGTTCTCCTGTGGTTCTCCCGCGGTCCTCCGGCGCTTGTCCCGTAGTTGTCCGTGGTTGTCTGATGTTTGTCCCGTGGTGGAGTGTTCTTGTCGTCCCGCGGCCGTCCCGTGGTTGTCCCATGATTGTCTCTGGGTTGACTTGCGGTTGTCTGTTGGTTGTCCTGTGCGTGCGCGGTGTTTTCCGCGGTTGGTCCGTCCGTGGTTCGTCCGCGGTTCTCTCATGGATGTCCTGTGGTTGTTTTGTGGTTTCTCCTCGTTGTCCAGTGGTTGTTCTGTTGTTGGTTGGCCGTGCTTGTCCTGTGGTTATGCCATTGTTGTCCCGCGCAATTGTGCCGTGGTTGTTCCGTGATTGATCCGTGATTGTCCCGTGTTCCGTCTTGTGTTTTTTTGTTGGTGTTTGTATCGTGGTTGTCTTGTGGTTGTCTCGTTATTGTCACGTGGTTGGTTGTCCCGTAATTGTTTCCTGGGTTTTCTTGGGGCTCTCCGCCAGCACACGTTGATCTCCAGACGAACTCAGCGAGACCGTCTCGATAGCGATCCCTCGCAAGCCCTACCTGCTCATTCTCATCCTCCTGCCCCTCTCCCTCTTCTTCAGTTAGTACGCTGCGTCTTCTCTGCTCAGACTTGCCAGGGCCAGGGAAATCTGTATCATCCCCCATTGGAATCCCGAACTTCTTCATCTCCGTGGCATTATTATCAGGGGTTGGTTATGGGTAGATCGGCCATGGGACCGCTGGCCTGTGATATTGATAGATGCGTTGTGGCACCGATAGATCACAGATCGGTGTCGCGTCGTTGTCCAATGGTTGTCCCGCGGGGGTCACCTGGTTGTCTCGTGGTTGTTTCCTGGTTTTCCCGTTGTGTCCTGTGATTGTCCCGTGGTTGTACGGGGCTGTCTTGTGGTTGTTCCGTGGGTGTCCCGCGGATGTCTTGTGGTTGTTCTGTCGTTGTCCTGTGGTTGTTGCATGGTTGTCTTGTCTACAGAAAGATACAGTGACGGCGAGGTTGATGTGAACACACGGGGTGCCGATATTGGGATCGGTGTGTAGATAGCGAGACCGAGATATGTACATAATTATACACACACATACATGCATGCATGCATGCATGCATGCATGCATGCATACATACATACATACGTACAGACGTACAGACGTACATACGTACATACATACGTACATACGTACTTACATACATACATACATACATACATACATACATACATACGTACATACAGATATGCATACATATGTAAAGGCATATTGACAGGTAGAAAAATCGAGATCGTTACAATCCCTGGGGGCGGGGAGGTGTGGTGGACCCCCCCCCAGCAACAGACCATACCCCCCAGATCTCTGGCTCTGGGGATCCAGTGGAAACCCTGGTAGAGGGTGCCTCGGGCCTTCCGAGTTTCCTGGGCGCTCCTGCCAGACCAGGCCCCGAAGCCCAGGGGCCGAAAGCGATCAGGAGGACTGCCAAACGACCCTGCGAGAGCCTCAAGCGGCCCTGGAAACCTGTAACGCCCGAAGACGTCCCAAAGGAGACCCCCACGAGGCCATTCAAAGCGAAAATAAACAGGATTTGTCCGTAGGTATTGGTATGCTTTTGCGCGTAGTCGGTCCTTCAGTCTTCTGGGTTTCTGAGGCGGTCCAAGAGGCCCTGAAAATCGCTTCAAAAACTTCCGCATGGGCATCAAGAAAGTCCAAGGAGCCACAAGACGGCCCAACAGGGCCAGAAGAAAGCCCCATGACGGCTCGAGATGGGCCAAAGACGCCACCCAACCACTAAAGTTGCGGCCCAGTCTTTGAGAGAAATTGTGGTTGGCGATTGGTGGCCACAGGAAGCCCCTAGGGACACCTAGAACGCGCCCAAGAGGCCTCCCGAGGCTCCCATGAGGCTCCCGAGAAGCTTTCGTCAGGCCCTCAAGAGGCCCCTCCAAAGAGGATCCTCCAACAAAAAACACGTATCACCCCGCAGGTGCGGGCAAGAGTGAGGGAGCGGCTGGGACGTCGGCAGTTTGCAAGGTTCTGAAGAAGCCCGCCGCAGGCGCCTAATTGTCACGTAGCACCCAGCAGCCGCGGATAAGTGTGAGGGGGCGGCGAGGACGTCGGCAGTTTGCGAGGCTCTGAAGAAGCCCACCGCAGGCGCCTAACGTTTACAAAGTATGTAGTGAGCCCGCCGCAGGCGCCGATTTCTCGGTAAAGCAATGTGGGTGGGTCGCGGGGTGGGTCGCGGGTGGGTCGCGGATGGGTCGCGGGTGGGTCGCGGGCCGGGTCGTTGGTGCGCGGTTGGGTCGCGAGTGGGTCGCGGGTGGGTGGCGGGCCGGGCCGCGAGCTGGGTCGCGAGCCGGGTCGCGAGCCGGGTCGCGAGCCGGGTCGCGGGGGGGACGACGACAGCAACAATAAACACACAAACAAACATAAGAACCATTATAATATCAACACCAACAACGACAACGACAACGACAACAACGACAACAACGATCAGTTTGAGATTGTTCGTTCTTATTGGCACCGTTGTCTTGCATTCTGTATACCCCAAGCCTCGACACCCGCCCACTTCGTCTTCGATCGCACCCCCTTTCGGAGTGAATAGTTTCCTTTGTCGGCCACTGACTGAAATGCGAGGAACTCTCAAGCAAGAGCGCCGTTCCTGAGTTCGGGGGCCTCTCTGGCAAGGGTCTCTCGGAATACATCTTGAGAAATATTAAACAGGAGCCCTTGTCGCCGTGTCTGCGCCACCACCAACTTGCCTGAAAGACGTGAGGGTCTCGAGCGAGAGCGCCACTCTGGAGTTCGAGGGCCTCTGGCAAGAGCCTCTGCGAATACATCTCGAGGATGTATCGAACGGGAGCCCTTGTCGTAGATGGGCCCTCACCAATTTGATTGAATCGTGAGAAGTTTGAGCGCGAGCGCCGTTACTGAGTTCGGGGGCCTTCCTGGCCAGGAGCTCTCGAAATGAATCGTGATGAAGTATCGAGCAGGAGCCTTGTTCGTCGTCCGCCAATTTGGCTGAATTGCGAGGAAGTCTTGAGCGAGAGCGCCATTCCTGAGTTCGGGGGGCTCCCTAGCCAGGGTGTCTCGGGGTAAGTGTGAGGACGTATCGAGCGGGAGCCGTTGTCGTCGTAGCCAGGCCTCCAAGGGCCCACTTTTACATTCAAGCCAACGCTCGCGCGAGAGCCTCGTTTCCAGAGAAATGCAGCCGGCGTTGAGGCGAGAGCGCGCGGAACCGTTGGTGGAGATCAACTGTAAGTATTTTTGGGAAATGAGCACTCAACAATAACAATAAGTTTACCCTCATGCGCGATGTTTCCACACGAAGCATGCGACCATCATGATGACCATTCCCATCATGGGGGACTATTGTTCTATAGCGGGGTCTGCTATTTCCATTCCCAGATCTCCCGCCCAACGAGGTCTTGCAAACACCTCCTCCGAGTAATTTCAGCATATCCCGCCACGAAAACGCATGCCCGCGCCTTGCTGGGTCGATGCGAGACCGCCAGTGGAGCCCCAGCCATGGGTAAAGCACAAGGGAGTATCGAGCGACAGGATTGCCTTGTTGGAGATGGGGGCTTTCGGCGGCGAGGCAAGGATCTGGCCCGGAATAGAAATGGAGGAAGTCTCAAGCAGGGCCGCTGTTGTTGCTGGGAGCGGCGCCAATGATGAAGATAGTAGG